GTCAAACTTTTAGGACTAAATTGCCAAAAGTACACACCGCTTCCATTCTTTAAATAACAAAATAATCTTAAACATTAAATGCGTGTATATTTACAAGATATACATCTTAATAGGAGTTTTTTGTAATCATGTCTACAATGCAATCAATTCATACAATGAATTATTGTTAAACGATACAGAACTCAAACTGATAAAACAAACGCAAACAGGTTAACCGCTGGTGCATTGTAAACGCGCGGAAATGGCGGCGCGAATGTTTAGAACAACGCAATGCACTCGATGTCGCCTTTTGCGATCTTCTGTATATATAATATACACGCAATACAGAGTGTCTATATAACATCAGTTAGGTATAAATAATCTAATTCAGAAATTCAATACAATTTTTCAGAAGCGAAAATTATGGAAATAGTTTCGTTAAAAATGATTTTTATTTTATTTGAATTTCAAACATAAAAAAACAATCAGAAGGTTACTTTACTAGTGAAAACGTGTGCTTAGATATTAAGTATTTATCAATATCAATTAAAATGTATATTTCGTTAACGTGTGACTTGGAGCGGATTCTTTTGGATTTTCTCATTAATTTATTGGATTTATGCAGCTAAACGAAAGAATGTATGAACAATTTGTTGATAACAGAAATTTTTTTTAAAAGTTACTTTTTGCATATTTGGTCATATTATTATGGGAGTTTAGAAAATATTTAACCAATTTTTTTATGTTTCAGAATATATTGAATAATTGTTTATAAAAAAATATAATTCTATTTTTATTTCACAAGTGGGGATTTATCGAGGGATTTATTTAACAATAATAAAAAAAATAAATATTTTACAAAATAAAGTGATAAAAAACATTCAACAACTTGTTCAGAATACCCATTCCCGATAGTATGTATTTAAATACTTTTAATTTAATCTTGGTCACTCTAGTCTTCTCAAACTGATATATATACTAATACACTAATACTAATGAACGGTTCGACTTCAATCTTTATCAATGACCATATTTTCAACACAAAACTAATAAATATTAACAATATACCTATACCTAAATTATGTAAATAAATTAACTCAATCTAAAAAAAAAGAAAAATCAAACATATTTTGAACTTATTATACCCATTACCAGTGTTTAATGGAATATTAAGAAAATATTTAAAAGAAATCCAATAGACTTTACACCTGAAATCGGTTATGATGAATATTACTATAGTATGTCAACGTAATAATTTGTTTGAAGAAGAAATATGTCGATAACGATCAGGACGACAAATGCACAGAAAATGTAACACATATACATATAGTACATAATAATACAACATGCGATTTGCGATATTCTGCCGTTAACTGTGACACCCGTGTCATTGACAATTGCCACGTAGCAATTATAGTTTAAGAGCATTGTACGGTCGAAGCAAATATTTACCATACACCACAGAGACGACGGAAGAGGATCAAAATGTGAGGGTGGGCGCACATAGGATATTATATAATTGAGTTACACGCGTAGTGCGAATAGCTTTCCTAAGAACACTTTTAACACATATCTTCTGTTATATTAGAATATTATTGGAAATAATTTATTAGCGTCATCTAGGTGGTTGACTGTAGTACTATGCAACAACATGCATGGTATCTTGTTAATATACAGAGTATTTCAACAGTTAATTTTCCCGGCCTGTCTAATGCCTAAGTTAGATATACTTCCCGAGGCATATTGTAACAAAAGGCAAAACGTAAGCCAAAACGCTCTAAATATTTTAATAAATTACATGAATTTTAATTTTCCACAAACTACATATTGTATTTATTATGAATGTTTAGTATTTTGTGGGGTATTTTGTAATTTAAATTCTGAGCAGAGCGATGAATTTATTGACTTTACAATGTTAATATGTGTGTATGTATTTTTGTGTACCTATATGCATATCATCGATATTTAATAATCGATAAAATGCTTCGATTTTAAATTTTGGATAAAAAATTGGAACTAATTTTTCATATGAAGAAGATCAAAATAAAAAATTCTCAGTATTTATCAAAACAATCGAAATAACAAACAAAAATTTAAGAAAAAAATCAGTCTTCGATAAAATCATTTTTTGTTGTCACAATTTTCACCAAATGTAAAATAACTTTTTATAAATGAAAAAGTTTTCAAAATATTTTAAGGCTTTTGAACTATTTATAAAAATGATAAAATTCAAATTTTTTTTAAAAATTTATTTCTATAAATATCAATTAAAAATTATTTTCTGGATTAATTCTTGAAAATTTAATACAAGATCCCAAATAAGTTTTTCTTATATATGTTAAAAAGTTTAAATTTTTACAAAATTCTTCAAAATCACGGAATTTTATAAACTACAAGTATTTTGTAGCAAGAAATGTATAAAATCTTCAATTTTTAAAGCTAATAGGTAAGAAAATTTAATATAATGTTCCTCATAAGTAGTTCATACTGAAACTAAAAAATATATTAACATAATTATTAATTATACATATTTGTAGCACAAATTTAGATAAAATTGATATTTATTATTTTTATAATTCACTAAAATTAAAGAAAGTAAAGCATAAATTTTATTGTACGTAATAAAATTTTCAAAATTTATAGATAATTTTAAGATTTTTTTCTACGAGTTATTAAAAACTTTTTCACATTTTATCACGATATTTACAATACAATATTATTAACACAAAAAAAAAAAATTTTTTTTTATTTTTACAAAATATTTACAACTTATTCAGAGAACAATAATTAAATTTTATATGAGTAATATAAACATGAGAAGTATGACGGAAGAAGCTACCCATTGATGACACTACCTATTTTGTTTCAACCCAAAAATTAAAAACAATAATATAATGTAAATACATATAATACAATATCGTTATAAAAATTAAATACATTGTTTTTGGAAAAATGAACCTAACGTAGTAGATAGTTATTAAAAATAAAATAAATTATTTTAATATCTACTTGTATCAAAAAGCATACCTAATATTACGATTTACGAAATTGTTTCGGTCTTATCGCCTTCGTATTGCTAATGTCAACCGTCTTCTGTGACACAGTCTTTATATTTTAATAACATATGATAATAATCTGTCATTTTTTGTCTACTTTCTGTTCGTTGTTTATTTTATTAAACGATTTAAACGTTTTTTTTACTATTTAGAGTGTGGTGTTTAATCATTATTAGTAGAAAGTTCAAAGTTGAGATAGTAGAAAATGAGGGGAATATTCGTGCTCTATCCGGTGCTCTACCTTCAATGAACCCCACTAGCCGCCACTGGGTATTAATAAGTAACACAATTATCAATAGATATTTTATCTAATAAAAGGAAATAAAATAATTTTTATAGATAAAAGTACTACCATAATTAAGTTGGTAAAATAAAACATAAATAATATATATTATAAAACATACAGATGTATCTATTACATATACATAAATCTACATTATCCATTGTATTCCCGATACATGGGTAAAAATTATTTATAATCGCTAAAATAATTATTTTTTACTTTAAAAATAATATAACTAAGTAAGAAGAAATCATTCATGTTTTAAGTAATTTATAATTAACTACTTAAAAAAATGTTGAAATAAGTAATAAAAATATTTTGTTCAATAAGTGAATTGGCAAAAATACACAATTTTTGGTATAATTATTTATCATAAGATTATAAACTATAATCATATGAATATATAGACTGAGAGTAGAGCAAGAAGATTGAAGACAATATATAAAAATAATAGAATTAGAAAAAGATAGCATACAACATGATTATCATGATATAATCATTAATAGCAAAACAAAGAGAGAAGTTTTAAACAAAGATTGTAACATTTCTTGAAAAATATAGCTTACTAGGTAGTTGATTCAACTATAAAAAAAATAATTAAGAAGTATAGACTCTGTAGTCTCTATTTATCACAATCGATTTGTTTTTAAAATAGAATCTTCATATTGGTAGGTAAAACCATAAAATAATTAAGCATTAAGTATGTTTTGTAGGTTTTAAGTATTAAATATTATTTTATTTCAAAACGTTATGAATATGGTTTTCTATGTTATTGCTTAATCATTGGTGTCATGTGAGATTGTTTAAAAATGCATAAATTATTTACTTATAAATACTTATAAGAAATTCTTTCATTAAAATACTGACATAAATTAATGAATTTATATTTATGTAGCTGTAAGCTTCTATTTAATCATATACAATTTAATAGAAAAGTTAAAAAAAAATCTAGTTATTATTAATGCTAATTTTAATTCACATACTTGTAATTTAAAAAAAAAAAAAACAATTTTAAAACCTATAGCCCATATAAAAATTATTTCAAGTATAAAATAAAACCTTTTGTATTGGTAATCAACAAATCACAGCATCAATCTATTGTACATTATCCACATTGATTTATCTTATTAATTTTTATTATTTTTTTGTTTTTATAGAAGTACTTGTCTTGTATGTACTTATGGAAGTTAAAATTGAATGTGTTTACAAAATATAAGTATGTAAAAAGTATTTTGATAAGGTTCATTTAATTAATTTAGATTGTATTGTAAAAATGTAAAAAAAAATTAATATTATTATTGGCTATCTATTTTTAGTTTTTAACAATATTGATAATACAACTTATAAAAAGATATTATGGAGAACGGCACAATTCACAATAAATTAATAAAATTGTAAGCAATCATTCTGTGAAAGTTATAACACATTATTGCGACACTTTTATTCATATTTATCATGAAGACAACCGAGTACGTCAAATAATATAACAAATTATGTCCCTACGCCCAATATGTATGCCTACGGACTACAATATGAAAGTTCCAACTGTTTTTTTTTTTTTAATTATAAACCAGACTAGATGTATTTCAGTATACACTAACCTCCTGATGGTCACCAGACAACTGCTATCAATGTCTATGCCATTTTTCTAAACTAAACTTTTTTTTTAAACTAAGACTTACCTCTAATATATTGTTTATTCTTCGATGTTTATACTTATTGGTGAGCATCTGCCGAAATTCTTCTCGAAGAAGGCTAATATGAAAAAATAAAATAGCGTGATAATTATATTATAATCTGCGGGTTTAGTTAATAAACTTTAGTATACTTTTATACGTTATACGGAGACAACGAAACGCACGACGGTTTCGTTTCCGATTTTACACTATATAGTCACGCACGTTTAAAAGTGGTCGAAAAACGATAACTGATCGGCAAGTTTGAAATGTTTGAATAGCGAGTACACTGTACACAAGACGGACACGAGCGGCAGATGTACAATAGTAGTATGAACTTTTCTCCGCACGTAACGGCGAAATAATTAATAATACCAAATAGAAAATTACTAATAATTGAGTAATAACTAATAAGAAATTAAAATAATTAAATTACAACTGGCCCGCGACACGCGTTGCGATCGTCATTTTATCGAGAAAAACCCAGTCCGTGTTGTTGTCGTCGAGTTTGCGGTGGTAAATATATACAATCATTAGTATTTTCCATGTAAACGAAGACGATAATATTATTATTTTGTTTCTGGGTTTTTGGTTATCGATAGTTGTAAAACTATAACGATACGCCTATTCCGAAAATATTAATAATCTCCTGCGATCGTATAACATTTTACTATAAAAATAGTTTTTAATATTCCCTAGCGTCTGAACCATTGTTGTCTTTTCAAATCAATTCGTCAATATCGTTCTATAAAAAAAAAAAATAGTCACGTGAATACGCAATACACTTGCCGATGGTCACTGGTCAGTAATTTGACGCCCACGCCTACCACCACAAGCTCTAACATCTATTAAATGAATCTAATGGGCAATCATCGGTGCAACTTTGAAGGAGAGGGGACTATAACTATAGCGTGTACACTGTGTACCTTAAATGGTACACGTAGCACGATAATAATGTTCAGCCCGTATTGCTCTTAGGAACATATTGTCATAAGCATTAAAAATTGCTGTGGCAGTTAACTTGATAAAGAGAGAGAGAACAAAATTTTATTTAAAAATTATAAAGCAAACTGCCTATTCAACCAATTATTATTATTCGCCTACAGTGACACAACATACTTTTTAGACAAAACTTTCAAGTTAATACTTTATTTTGTTTGTTAATTAGTTATATTTTAAAAGTCCAATTTTTTTTTTTTTTTTTTTTTTGTAATATTTGTATAATAATACACGTTCTGAAAAATGTCGTTATTATTTTAACACTGCTACAACATTCTAATTCCGGGTTACATGATCGTTATATTAAATATTTAATGAATCAATAGCACGTTATTCAATTAATTAAAAAAATCATTTATTTACTAAACGTTCATTTGACGGTCAATAGCGTTATTGAGTCATCAAATAATCGTTTACCAAATACCAGTTGATTAAGGCTATAGTACCTGTATTCAAATTAAAAAGACTGAAGAGTTGTTATTACTTTTCTTGTGATGAGTTTCAAAATTCATCATAAATCTTGATATCGTCGAGTTTTAAACCAATACATTAATCGTATTCAACTGTTTGTGTTTGTACAACCCAATCGAATCGATAGAAATATAAAAATGGTTCGATAGAACCGTTCGTTAAATAAATTTGAGGAACGGTTTTACGCAAACCGGGTCATAAGCGTAAATGCGTAATATCAGTTTTATTAATTTTTATACCGGGAATAGTTTGTTTTTGCCAATCGCTATAATATCTCTATGTACTCGCAACACACACGCGGATGTAACTGGAGGAGACGAATACAAATTAATCTTAAAGGCCAATATTGGTCTCGTGTAATAAACGACAATTGCACGACGCATACGAGTGCAGTCGTACAGAAACCATTTTACATTTAGACGACGACAATAAAAATTAATACAAAAACATTAAACGTCTGTAAAGTAATTTACTCGGCGCGTGGTGCATACATATTTCGCGAGTGTTTCGACACGTACCAATCGTATAATCCACGTACGGGCAAATTGGTCCACACGGACGCGCTCCCATTTCCATTTCAGCGGGCCAATATTGACATTGTATTAGTATATATACGGCCGGCCGCCGTATAATAAAAATGTGTATTTATCGCTTTCGCATCTATTAGATTTGCTCTTAATAAAACGACGACGAGCAGTGCAAAGGCAAACACACTCGTAAAAATAGCGCGGCGCGTGTTTGTTTACTGCGCGCGTCGCGGGCGGATAACGCGGCGGACCGGTCGGATTGTGCGCGACGGCCGAACACGGACGGAATTTACAATAATTATTATTGTCCGCAGACGTCGTGTCAAATTATCAATATTTTTGAAATTACTATTATTATTATTATTATTATTATTATTGTTGTTGTTAATATTGATGTAGTTTTTGTTGTTTTTGTTGTCGCCGTCACACTCTTTGTTGATGTTATTATAAAAGTATGTCGGCATTCGTCGCACCATGTAAGTGTGTATTTTGTTTTCATTCTGTGACCCGCCGAATGGACAACATAGACAAAGCACATTCGCCAAAATAATGTTTTCGCGTTATTTCCGTGTAAAATCACATTTATCTCCCGAGGATAATCATTTTTATGTTGTTGTCAAAACAAAAATGTTGTCTCGGAAAAATTTAATATTCGTTTTAATTGAGTATTTGCAAACTTTTTTTTACGAATATAAAACCACGTATAATAAATTAAGTACCTATAAACGCATTTAATTTTATGTCTACGCGTAGGTTCTGTGTGAGAGAGAACAAACAGTGACATTTTACTTATATCGTACTATGTAGATTAATCGAAAGTCCCGAAACGAAATGTTAAATAACTAAATAAGTAATAATAGTAATACTATAATTAATTATAGTACGCAAAAAAGAAATAAAATAAAAGTTTAGTCAAAAATTCATGGAAAACGAACCCTTTGAGGAAATTGAGGAAGTGGTCGATAAAAATTAAAGTGTTGTGTGAGGAATTCGTCACTGTTATTAGATTTGTCCTGATATGATAACTGAAAACTGAAAAGTAAACGGTCATTAAATGAGAATAAGTCGTTATCGTATCTGAGCTATCCCTATTTCATTGGCAATAATATTTACTTTCTAATATAGATTTTTTTTTCATATATATAAAGTCAATGTTGATACACAACAAATAATAGTAAAATAATATAATATTAAAATCCTCTTAATTCACGGCGATAAATCTGTAGTATACCATAAAATTATGCACATGGAATATATTTCCATTTTAGCTCTAAAAACACATGGATTGTGAATTATTTACTAGATTTTTTAGGAAATGTTTTTTTTTATATATATATATATATTTATAGAAATTATATTTAATGAAAATAAAACTAAAATAGTAAAATGCTACAATTTTATCATAGAATTACTATTACATACTTTATACATTTTAAATTTACGAACTACGGACATCCCATTCAGTAGAATAGTGTCACCAATTAATACTCCATCACATCACGTCCACTGTTATTGTTCTTGATTAAAATATAATTTTTTTTTTTTTACATATAAAATAATAAAATTATATATTTTAATATTGAAAGTGGTATTAGGAAAAATATTATGTAATATATATTATTTTTATTATTTTGCTGTTAACTAGATTGTAGTGCGCCACCTAGCGGAATAATATTAAAACTTCAGCTTGTTAAATGTCAGTAGATGCCGTTACTCATTAATACTTAGATTTAGATATCTTCTTCAAAATAGTTAAGTTTATTTTATAATTTACTCTCATAAAATATTATAAAAAATTAAATTAATTAATTTCCTCATAATTTTAGTTAAAAAAAAAATATAGTATGTTTATCATACATATTACATACTATATTATATTATTTTTATTACAACAATTGATAAATATATTATAGAATCATTCATAATAAAAAAAATGTATCTAAGACCAAAATCATAATGTTATATTTGAATCACAGGTATCAGACATCAATACCAGATTAGACACCTGATCGGATATAAACATTACATTAAATAAATAAATAATTATACATTATATTTACTTCTTTTAATAATTTATTTAAGATATAAATACATTTTACGTAAATTAGTGAGATAAAATATTATAACTCTGCTTTCATAAAAATTATAGTACAAGTAATTTATTACTACTATAGTATATTAATAATTTAGGAGAAAAACATTTTTACCCTTGAAAGATTTAATACTTTTGAATCATAACAAATTAAGTCATAACAAGATAAAATATAGTGTTCTTCGTAATTTGACAAAATTCGATTTAAAAAAATACTCAAGCCTTTAGGTATTTAAATTTAAAGTTTTAAGAATTTTCAAATGATTTGCAAATTTTCATGTATTTACATAACAATAATAAATCTAAAAATGTCAAAAGAGAGCATTTTTTTTTTTAATCTTACATATTTAGATAATTGTAAGTTCATTACTCTTTCAACACTAATAATTGCAAGTGGATTCTGACAGTGGATCATAGAGATAATGTTTGTTATATCTACTAATCTTTATTATTATTTTTAAAGCTAGTATTGTTCCTGATTGTATACTAATTTTTGTTTACTCGAAAACTGAGAGGATTATACACTTAAGTCACTCTTTTGAGTTTTGACAGATGGGCGTTCTTCTTACACCATTTAAAATTTTAAATTTTGATCGGAGCAATAAATGTATTGGTTTTACAGTAATGTATTTTTTGTCTACAATAACTTTTTGAAACAATAAAAATGCTTTGATTCTCAAAATGAAGGTGATTTTTAATAGAAAATTGAATCTAGTTATTATACTTCGACAAGTCAAAATGAAAAAATGCTCTTTTTATATAACTGGGAAAAACAAACACAAATTCAAGAAAAATGGAAATTTAACTTTAAAACCAAATTTGAAGTTTTTACCATATCTTTAAATTATTATTTTATATTTACTAACTAAGCTTTTAAAATATTTTAACTCTTTTTGAGCTATTTTTTTTATAGGCATTTTCTATCTAGCTGTTTTTTAATTTGTTTTCTATAATTGTTAATTAAAAATTATCGTTGGATAAAAATGCTAAAAAATTAATTCAAAGCTCCATATAATTTTTTTATCTCTCAATTAAAAGTACTAAGATTGGGTAGTATAGTAAAGTTAGTATAGTCAATTATTTTTTATAAATATTTTAAATTAAAATTCTTAATTAAACGATAAATAATAATGTTAGTTATTTTATTACAATTTAAATAAAAATGTTCATGGAAACTTAAAACTATTACGTGTATTATCATATTTCTATTATGAATTTTACGAGTATAATTTCATATAATTTTAATACGCAATGACATTGATTTATTTTAAGACAATGTACATACTATGAAGTACCCATGAATCTACAAGTATTCTTACTGTTATACGGCATTTACAGAAATATGTTATTACATGTTTATAAGATGATATAATATGGTATAAATATTTATTATTAAAATAATTAAAAATATTAAATAATAAATGTTATATTTTCATAAAATTGCGAATCAACCTACAGTATTACTAAAAATAATATAAATTACTTTAACAAATCTAAATCAAAAA